AGCAGGGCTGTGTTGCTCCCACTTGCTGAGATTTTTGCCTGACTTCCATGCATGCTCATTCTTTGCTGCAATTTATGTTACTTAAGTTCAAGCCACTTTGCATTATGTTAACTAAGTTGTAATTACAGGTTTTTTCCATTTTTAAGCCATCTTGCATTTAAAGGTTTGGTGTAAATGAATGCATTCCAACACTTCCCATTTCACACAGTTAATGTAGCAGATCAGGATTTGTGTTGCATTTGGAATAAGCCAAGCTAACACTTTCTCTTTTTCTCAGTTCAGTCATTCCTACATGTAAACTTACCGAAAAGCTCAGCAGAACTAAAACCAGAGTCTGGTGATGTGCTGTATTTGCAGATGTGTCTTGTTTGGCCTGTAAATGTGATTACCTTGAAATATTAATTACAAACCTAGGACCAGATTAACTGATGCAAGCAGCACAATTAAGTGTGCAGGAAAGCTGCAATTATAGAAGGAACCAAAGTCCCATTGTGGCACTGGGTCAGGAGGATGAGAGGGGTGAGGGGCATTGTCTGTCTCATAGTGGGGTATGAAGAAGTGTGTTCTGTTCAGTCCATCTCTGCTGCAGCTCACCTTGGCAGGTGGAGGGAAGGTTTTTCTCTGTCCCAGGGCAGCAGTGATGATGCCAAAGTGTGGGTGTTGTGCCAGATAAGGGCCTGGCAGAATTCCTTGCTCTGGCAGCTGGAATAGCAGAGAATGAGCAGCAGGTCTGGACATGCTGAACCATGAGGTTCCTCAGCCGACTCTGGGATGAGAAGGATTTTTGAGTGTGCAGACACACAGCAGCACTGCTAAGGAGCCTGTGCCTGGTGTGTTACTGTGAGATGTTGCTGAGAGGAGCACATCACCTGAGTGTGGTTTGTGCACAGGGAGTGAGTTAAGGGCCTGCTCAGATCTGAGATGCAGCAGAGCAGGAACCAGCAAACTGTGTTACTTTAATTGCTAGTTTCTGAAAAGTCAAACATGGACTTTTCACCTTCTCTGTGTGGTAAGTTTTGTACTTAAATGGCAGTTTGAAATGAGTCATAGTAATTTGTTAGGCAGAATTACTGCACAGATAAGAACTATAAATGTCTACAGTGGGTTTTGTATATCAGCAAAAAACTTTGCTGCCTAAACCTGTGATGTGACAGCACAGACTCAAAGGTTTTTCCTCTCATACTCCAATTACAGATTTTATCTCTTCTTTTCCTTCCCATTTTCCACACTTACTAACAAGAAAATGCTTGTGTTCAGGAATGTCCAAGCGCCTCCCCCCGGGGTTCCCTGCAGGCCAGGCTAACCAGAACTTCCTGCAAGGTCAGGTGCCTTCCACAGCTCCAGGACCAGCAGGGAACAGCGGAGCACCACAGCTGCCACCCAGCCAGAGCGTGCAGCACACAGGTCTGACTGCCACGCGGGGTTCTCAGCTTCTCCTTTCTGTAGCCTGTGTCACACAGATCCCAAGCCATCCACTCTTGCCATGAGCAGGGGCTGGTTGGCTGGGGCCGCAGCACCATTCTGGGTGTGTTGCTGCATCAGGAAAAGCAAAGTGTGAGGCTGCTCATGTTTCTCAAACAACCCATTATTGATGAGCACTGTGTCCTGGGCTCCAGGAGCAGCTGTTGAGAAAATGAACGAAAGCAGCACTGAAATTTGGAGGCTAGGGTGGATGGATATAGCACAAAAGGAACTTCTTGTCCTGACAAAAGAAAGTGTAGTTGTCTTAGAAGCAGAATAGCAAAATAATCTTGTTCTGCTTTGAAAATATTATTTATTGGTTCCTTTGAAAGTTTTGGGTCTGCTGACAGTGTGAAAGTGAGCCCTCCATTTAATAATGCAGTTATTAACCTTTTGTCTGGATTACAGATACCCTGATAATGTCATTTCTGGTCTCTCCTGCCATGCTGCAGGGGGAGGACTAAGAGGGAATGGTCATAAGCTGAGACAGGGGAGATTCAGACTAGATGTGAGTAAAAATATTTTCCCTGTTAGGGTGTTCAGGCACTGGAATGGGGAATTGCCCAGGGAGGTGATGGAAGTGTTTAAGAGGCATCCAGACCTGGAAGATGTGGTTTGGGGTTTAGGGGTTGCAGCAGTGACAGGTTAATGGTTGGACTCAGTGACCTTAGAGGTCTCTTCCAACCACGGTGATTTTATGATTCTATCAGTTCTCTCTGGGTGTTAATTCTTTAACCCGTTTTAAATGAACCTCAAGGTTTGATGCTTATTTTGGTTGGGGATTACTGTGCTGAGTGAGGTGACATTATGGAAGATATTCAGACTTCAGTGCAGGTAACAACTGAAATTTAAGTTTCTGCTCTGTCCTCTGCAGTGGGTTGCAGGGGAAGGACCAGTCCAGGTGTTTGTTTTGAGATGTGTGATGCTCTGTTTGGACAGCTAACACGTATCTGTAGCATCAGACATTGCATCCCAGAACTGCAAATGTGTGAGATATTCCAGTTCATTGGAAAAGGGAGGAAAACCATTCTGGAGTACTTACTCAACATCAAAAGGTATGAAAACCCTTGCACTAGTCAAGTTAGTTTCTCACTGGCTTTTTCTTTTTGTTTTCTTAAGGTGGCCAAGGATCTGGACCTCCTCAGACTCAGATGCAAGCAGCACATGGCCCTCCAAATATGATGCAGACCAATCTCATGGGACTTCATGGAAATCTGAACAACCAGCAGGCTGGTGCTAGTGGGGTGCCACAGGTTAACATGGGCAACATGCAGGGACAGCCTCAGCAAGGACCACAGTCCCAACTCATGGGGATGCATCAGCAAATCGTGTCCTCTCAAGGGCAGATGGTAAACATGCCGGCTCAGGGATCGCTGAACCCTCAAAACCAGATGATACTTTCTCGAACTCAGCTCATGCCTCAAGGCCAAATGATGGTGACACCACAAAACCAAAATCTTGGTCCTTCTCCCCAAAGGATGACCCCACCCAAACAGATGATTCCCCAGCAGGGACAGCAGATGATGTCCACACACAATCAGATGATGGGACCTCAGGGCCAGGTCTTGCTCCAGCAAAACCCAATGATGGAACAGATGATGACCACTCAGATGCAAGGAAACAAACAGCCTTTCAGTACTCAAAACCAGTCCAATGTTATGTCGGGGCCAGCTCAGATGATGAGAGGACCAACCCCAAACATGCAAGGAAACATGGTGCAGTTCACTGGGCAGATGATGCCACAGCAAGGCCCTGTGAATGGGAATCCTTCTCAGGTGATGGGAATTCAAGGGCAAGTTTTAAGACCCACTGGACCTGGTCCTCACATATCTCAGCAACTTGGGGACACTACTACAACAACAAACAGCGACGTGAACCTGACACAGATGTTACCTGATGTTCCTGTGCAGCAGCCAAACATGGTGCCTTCTCACATGCAAGGGATGCAAGGAAACAGCAGTGCTTCAGGGAGTCATTTCTCTGGCCATGGGCTGCCTTTCAATACAGGGTTTAGTGGAACAGCAAATGGGAATCAGGTTTCCTGTGGGCAGAACCCTGTGTTTCCTGTCAATAAAGATGTGACTCTCACAAGTCCTCTCTTGGTTAACCTTCTCCAAAGCGATATATCAGCAGGACACTTTGGTGTGAACAACAAACAGAACAATCAGAATGCCAACAAGCCAAAGAAGAAGAAGCCTCCAAGGAAGAAGAAAAATAATCAACAGCTAGAGCAAACAACGTAGGTTCAATATTACAGTGGTTTTATAAGGGGTGTGGGGAGCTCCACAGGCACCTTGTCAATATTTTATCAGCAAGCAATGGGTGAGAAAGGACCTGCATTGGTTCATGTTGTAGCAGTTTCTTTCAAGAGTTGCTCTCAAGAGTCTGTCATTGGAACGTTTGTTCAAGATTAAAAGTAACATGCAAATAGACAAACTCAGCTATAAACCCAGTTACAGGAGCACTGTTCCTTACCCTTACTGGGTGAAGGAAGTTTAGCATGTGGCTCCTGGTGCCACAGCCCTGGCTGGGAAGAGAGGCTGCCCTTTGCTAAGCAGTCTGACAGCCACAATCAGAGGGTGGCAGGTACTTTCAGAAGAACTAGAAGATTCCATACAACGTGTGCAGTAGAGATTTTGGGGGTTGTTTCCTGAATTAAATTTTAACGTAATTAAAATCCCCGTTTTCCTGTGAGGGTGGTGAGACACTGGCACAGGTTGCCCAGGGAGGCTGTGGCTGCCCCAGCCCTGGCAGTGTTCACAGCCAGGTTGGCTAAAGCCTTGAGCAACCTGTTCTGGTGGGAGGTGTCCCTGCCCAGGGCAGGGGGTTGGGACTGGATGGTCTCTAAGGTCCATTTCAACCCCTTAACATACTATGAATTGTGTGCATGTCCTGAGACATTTCTGCCTGGAATTGAGCTGGACTTCTCTCTTAGTTGAAGCTAGAATTTAGAGGGGAGAATCTGGTACTTTCTGGGCATGAGGTTAATGAGTCCAAGCAGTGCTGATCTTCCTGGCCTAGGAGAAATCACAAAGGAAAAAGCCCCACAGCTCCTGAAAGGGAGGAGGCAAACAGATAATATTGAAAGATGAAGAATGAATGTGCCTGGTTAGTGGAAATTCAGGATTGTGGAAGCTCTTCATTCCTCTTTGGCCACTGTATCCTTCCTTGGCCAGCTGACCTGTGACCCTTTGCCTGCTAACAGCAGCACAGGGTGGTGCATCCTGCTGCTGTGCCATTATTCAGCTCAAATGGTGAAGGCAGATCTGCTCTATCTAATGATCCTGATGCTGCAGATGAGCCCCAGGGACACTAACTGGAATCCACCCAATGGAACTTCTGGGGATTGTGTTCAGTTTGCTTTAGGGAAAATGGAAAAGCTTGGCACAGAAAATTATAACAGAGGAATAACCAGGTATCAAAATTCTTAAAACCAAATTAAAAGTAGCAATGGCACATTAAGCTCCTGGTGTGGCTCTGGTTCCACCAGTCCCACTCCTTTGAAGAATCACAGAATCACAGAATGGGTCAGGTTGGAAGGGACCACAGTGGCCCCTGGTCCAACCTCTCTGCTCAGGCAGGCCCAACCTAGAGCACAGTCATTGTGTCTTTACCCTGAAGTTTCTGCTGCCTTTCCCAGGGACACATGTCCAGGTCTGTGCAAAGAGAAGGTGGCATTCAGGTACTAGGCAGCCTTTCAGTACTTAAATTTTTCCCTTGGTTACTCAGTTACTCCAACCTGCATTGTCTGCACAGTGTCAAGATTCCTTCCTGAAGATGGAATTATTAACCTTATGGACATTTTCATTCTGGACCCAAACAACTCACACCATCTGTAACAAGTGATCTCTGGTGACAATCATTAGTTGGCTTCACTAGTAGGAAAATAAAATGCAGAAATGCTGTAAGGTAGAGCAAACTATACTGATTTCATAGGCCTCAAAAAAAGTGCTTCAAGTACTGCTGTGTAGTCTGCAGTCATGGTGTGGCCTGTAAGCTCCACACTGCTGCCATGGGATTTCAGATTGCAGCTGGGGGAGGACACAGTCTGTGGCACCTCTGGAAACCTGGGTAAAGTGAGCTGGGCAGTGAGTCTGCAGCATTGAGGTGGCTTGGAAACTGTGACACAGTCACCAGCTTCTTCAGTCCAAACAGAGTCCAGTGAAACAGTAGAACCAGGGAGGCTGTGGCTGCCCCAGCCCTGGCAGTGTTCAAGGCCAAGTTGAATAAAGCCTTGAGCAACCTGTTCTGGTGGGAGGTGTCCCTGCCCAGGGCAGGGGAATGGGACTAGATGCTCTCTAAGGTCCTTTCTAACCCCTTAACAGACTATCATACTAAACTATGAAACCACTGCCACAGTGAGCACCTTGCCATGGAAGTGACAGAGGGTTCAGAGGGAGCAGATGAGTTGGCTTTGTCTTCTGATCCATTAATCATTAAGAACAGCCTTGTTAGGATTTTGTTTGTATTGGTCTCACTGATGAGCACCCAGCTGCAGCCTGGGAATGTCAATAAATGGATCTATAGAGCTCCCTCTGAGCTCACAATGCCCCCACGAGACTATTTGCTTATTAAAAGGTTTACACAGTAGAAGAATTCTAAATAACAGCTTTTGTATTGAACTATGACAACTCAATTCTAGCTCCTAAATAGGCTTTGAATCAGATTTTGGTGTAATTAACAAAGGAAATAACACTTTGTACTTTATTACTTAAATTTTCGGTGAGTGTCCTCTGCTACTGCTGGCTGCAAAATGTTGTTCTGGGGTGGATTAGCATTTGGTTTCCAAATGGACTGTGTATTAATCACTTGATCCTTGCAGAGGCATTAGGAAGGGACTTGTTCTTACAAGTATGTCTGAGATTATTCTCCAGCAGAAGGAGAGTGACTGCAGTGAAAGCTGTAACACCTTCCTGCCTCCCTCCCATCATCAGGCATGCTCAGCATTTTCCTGCCTTGGAGTTGCTGATTCTGTTAAATCCCATTTGGATCACTTTCTTTTACATCAGAAGCAAATGAGATGCTTTTCATCTCAGCTTCCTCTCCTTCCTCCTTTCTCAGAAATACTAGAATTCAGAGCAGGAAACCTTGTGTGGAGATGAAGCTAATTGGATAAACACACTCAAAAGAAATAATTTCTGAGCAGTAATAGGAGAGTAACAGAAGTACTACAGATTGCAGTCTGAGCCATGTTGGAATGCAAATAGGTTAAGTGAGCTATTGAAAGAGTTTATGCAGCTGAGTCTAAAATAGTTTTAAGGGTTTGCTTAATTGGCCAACTCAGTGTTGGAATGAAACCCAGGACATTTGGGAGAGGTGTTTGCATCTGTGTTCTGAACCTGAAGACTGTGGGTAATGGGATGTAAACTGAGGAACAAGATGCTAGATGAAATGGGATTCTAGATTAAACATGTTGGCTAATGCTATTAAATCCATGCACAAACAAGCAGCTGTTGATGTTCCCTGTGCACAGCCCATGGACATGCTGTGTGCTGGGGGACAGGAATAACCCCCGGGAAGGGTCACTGCTGGCATTCAGGTTTGCAACGTCAAGTGCAGGTGGTGACACTGTAGGACAAAGAGATTGAGAGCTTTTCACCCCAGGTCTGGGGCTTACAGCCCCACAGGGCACCTGGAAGAGGCACTGCTCAGCAGCAGAGGACAAGTGCTGTCCCACAGCAGCTGCTGCAGAGCACCATGCTGGCAGGGCTCTGCATGCCCCTGCACTGTCATTTTATGTTCACTCACCTCATTTCAGCAGCTGCAGCCTTTCATGGTTTGATTGGGTTGGGTTTTCTTGGGGTTCTCTTTCTGCTCTGATAAGGGATTTTGTACCTGAAGGTTGTACTAGAGAATGCAGCTGGTGGAGCAGAGGCTTTGCTGATGACAGTCCAGACCATACCTGATGTGCAGTTATTTCTGACATTGTTTTACATCCAGAGCAATAGGAAAGAAGAATAAATATGACGTAATTGTCCTTCTTACACAAACCCCATATTGCTACTCATAGTCATAGTTCAGGGGGTTTTGATGTGTGGAGGTTGCTAAACATTCCCAGTGGATTTCAGCAACATCCAAAATTCAGATAGTGTCTAAATTGCCCAGCAATGACAGCAGCAGTCTCCTGCCACAGCTACTGCTTTTTGCAAGCACATCAACCTCAGGTCTCTTTTGGCAGGTTTGCAGAGCTGCAGGTCAGACTCTCCTGCCAGGAGGTGTTTGCTCAGGATCCATCCTGCCCCAGGATTGTTTTCTAGGTTAAACCTGTCTGTGCAGTGGTGCTCTGTATCAGTCTCTAGCTGCTCGTTAGCGTTTTTAATCTCCCACCATTACAAATAAATCGTAAACAGCACAATTACAGATTTGAGATTGCATTGAGTTTTAGGCAGTTCTTTCAGGTCACCTGTACCAAAGGCTGCAGCTTCTGTGGGGGGTTTTGCTACCAGAATTTGTTCATTTGTGGCTGCTAATATAATACCCTGGGGCTGTGCATAGGTATTTTGCTAGTTTTTGTCACATTTATTGGTGGAGTTGTGTAAGCCAACACCTCCTGCATCGCAGGCCATAGTGGTGTGCTGGATTGGAAATTTGGGTTTCTCTACAAATGCTTTCCCTGGCAGTACTTGCCCTCAGCAGCAGTGCTTGGAATGGTTCTGTGTTTGCCCCATTTCTCACCTTACTTCTCTCTTGGCTTATGCTCTCCCCAGTTTTTGCCTGCAGAGATTCAGGGATTTCCAGTCACACTCTGCTTTTGGAGAGTTGATCAGGTACTGACGGAAGGTTAGGACAGGCCTGAGTCTCTCCATGTCAGCTGTGCAGGTGCCAGAAACTGTTACTCTTAAGTAAAATTACATAGAATAGATCTCTCCACCTTTATGTACTTCAAATTCTTATTTTGCTGAAAAATGTCTATTTCTCTGTGACATTTCTGCATGATTCTGCCTCTCTTTGTTGGCAGTAGACTTATTTTGATGTATTTAATTTTAACTCAGATTTTTCCTTCTGTAGATCTCCCCATAGCCTTCATATATTCATGAAGGTGATAAACGGTTAAGGTCTCCTGCTCTTCATCCCTCTTTATTTTACATCCTCTGGCCATGTATATTGATAGCTATAGAAACTTGGGGTTTTTCTCAGTCTGCAAAAACTGTCATGATTCAGTGGAAGTACTGGGCATTGAGTCTGAACAATTTTAAATTGTCCTAGGGAGTCTCCTGGAGCATCAGGTACCCCAGGAGAAGGACTTGGGGGATGCTGATGGACAAAAAAACCTGTGTGTGACCCAGCAATGGGCACTGGGAGCACAGAAACCCTCTGTGTGGTGGGCTCATCCCCATAGAGTGGGCAGCAGAGAGAATGGGGATTCTGCCCCTCTGCTCTGCTCTGGTGAGATCCACCTGCAGTGCTGCCTCCAGCTCTGGGGCACAAGAAGGACACTCCTCTGGGCTGAGTCCCTCTGCTGAAGCACTTCTGTTGTAGAGCCAGACTGGGAGAGTTGGGAGTGTTCAGCCTGGAGAAGAGAAGCCTCCAGGGAGACCTTAGAGCGCCTTACAGTGCCTAAAAGAGGTCCAAGAGAGCTGCAGAGGGACTTGGGGCGAGGGCCTGGAGAGACAGGACACAGGGAATGGCTTCCCACTGCCAGAGGGCACAGTGAGATGGGATAGTGGGAAGGAATTCCCCCTGTGAGGATGCTGAGGCACTGGCACAGGTTGCCCAAAGAAGCTGTGGCTGCCACATCCCTGGGAGTGTTCAAGGCCGGGTTGGACAGCGCTTGGAGCGGCCTGGGCTGGTGGAAGGTGTCCCTACCCGTGTCAGGGGATGGGACAAGATGAACTTTAAGGTCCCTTCCAACACAGACCAGTCTGTGATCACTTACAGAGACTCAGTGCCACACAGAGGTCTGTGCTCTGGAGGGTGACTTTAGTGTCTGACATGTCAGTGCAGTTTGGCTGTGCTGTTATCAGAGGTCTCTGATACCTCAAAGCAGTTGTTTCTGGGGGCATTACTGGAAGAAATGGTGCTACCATTAAAATAAATTTATATGCATCTCCCCATGGTACTTGCTTATCTCTGCAGATGTCATAGGGAAGCCTAGTGACTTGAAATATTTATATAGCCATATCATTTGGGATAGCCATTGGCATTCTCTTAGTTATAAAACTCAGATTCAAGGTGGAAACAAGATCAACAGAGCACGAGCACCTTGTTTCCTTTTCAGCAGTATTTAAGGCAGAGGAGTGACTGTACCCAGACCTGGGATCTGTGTGTCAGTTTGCCATGGTACACCAGAGGCAATGTTAACGTTTTTTTTAACTGCTTGAGTTCTAGAAGCAGAAATCAAACCTTGATGTGAGAGCTGGATCTTAATTGCAGTCGTTTTTCTTTCAGTTCTTCAGAACCACGCCCAGCTGGCCTGGAGGAGAGTGATCAGTCGTCGCTGTCTGGGGATCAAGGAATGAATTTAGATAAGTCAGGCCCTAAACTCTCAGATTTTGCCAGCAGGCCACCAGGTAGTAGGATTTTTCTGTGGTTTATCTGAATGTAATAACTATGGGAGAGCTTTGCACTGATCTTTGTGACAGTTCTGTTCTATTTGTGCTATCACACACTCTAGTTCAAACCTTTTTGCCTTCTAGTAAGTAACTGTTACCATTGTTTCGGTGGTTTCTTGGAATTAGCAATAGGATTTGTATTATAAACCACAAAGGTGGTTCTTAGCACTGGTTTTGGCCAAGTAATATGTGGCAGATTCTGCTTTGTACACTAGAAGATGTCAGGTCTGTAGCAGGTGTGCTGGTCCGTGTACCTCAGGGCCTGTCAAACTCTGAAGGTTGTTTTAAGGAGTATTAATTAGTGGAAGTCCAACTCCTCATTTGTAAGTGAAAGCAAGCCAATAGGCAGTTTCAGAGACTTTCCAGGTGGCATGAACTTGGATGAATAGCTGGTAGCTGTTAGGATTCACTAAGAGATCCCCAGTTAAAGTCATTCATACAGTAAGTGAAAATATGTTTAGGAATTAAGTGAAACCTTTGGCCTCATTGGTGCAGCTGTTTCGTCAGTGTGGCTCTCACCCAGCATAAACAGGCTCCAGGCTGTACTTCCTATCCAGTCCTGTTTGTTACAGAAATCCTGCATCCTCTGATCTCTGGTTGGTTTTAATGCGTGTGTCATCCTTTTGTCTTAGGTTATCCATCTCAGCCAGTGGAGCAGAGGCCACTGCAGCAGATGCCACCTCAACTCATGCCACACACGCAGCAGCCCCAGCCCCAGCCCCAGCAGCAGCAGGAGCAGCAGCAGCAGGAGCCGCAGTTTTTTTAACACCACAGCAAGGCCAGGCACCCCCACAGACACCACAGCAGCAGCAGCAGCAGATGATGATGATGCTGATGATGCAGCAGGATCCCAAATCAGTCAGGCTGCCTGTGCCACAGGGAGTTCACCCTCCCAGAGGGCCTCTGAACCCAGATGCTCAGCGGATGCCGATGCAGCAGAGCGGGAACATGCCAGTAATGGTTAACCTCCAGGGGCCTGGGTCGGTGCCTCCGTCTCCTGATAAGCAGAGAATTGCCTTGCCAGGCAATCCTCCTCTGGGAAATAATGCAAGGAAAATGGTTTATCCAGATAACATACAGAATCCTTCCAGCTCACCCCTCGGAGAGGTTTCATCAGTACCCTCGCTCCCAGAAGGAGCTGGAGCTGAGGGCCCCCCAACATCAGGAGCTCAGAATAACTTGACATCTCATTTAGTAGTTTCCCAGAACCAATTAATGATGACAGGACCCAAGCCTGGGCCATCCCCACTTTCAGCTGCCCAAGGTGCAAGCCCCCAGCAGCAGTCCAGCTCTCTGCCCAGCAGTCTCACACACCATTTCCCAAATGTTGCCACCCCATCACAAACCTCAAGGCCTAAAACCCCAAACAGAGCAAGCCCAAGGCCATATTATCCTCAGACTCCTAATAACCGTCCCCCCAGCACAGAGCCCTCAGAAATTAGCTTGTCTCCAGAGAGGCTCAATGCTTCTATAGCTGGTCTGTTCCCTCCCCAGATCAATATTCCTTTGCCTCCCAGGCCTAGTCTCAACAGAGGATTTGATCAGCAGGGTCTCAATCCCACTACTTTGAAGGCCATTGGACAAGCCCCATCAAACCTCACAATTAACAATCAATCTAGTTTTACTGCCTCCCAGTCACACAAATTGGAAGGTGTGGTCATGAATTCAGGCAAACAAACCAATGCTGGAGGAACAAAGAGAGCAAGTCCAAGCAATAGTCGAAGGTCCAGTCCTGGATCCAGTAGGAAAACTACACCAAGCCCTGGCAGACAGAATTCAAAAGCAGCTAAATTATCATTGACAACTCAGCAGAATCCATCTCTCTTGCAGAACATGGAATTACAGAGAAATATGATGGCGGGTCCCTCTTCGTTGCCGACACCTGTGACTACAAGTTTTCAAAACAGTCCCATGATAAGTAACCAGAATTCATTCCATTCCTGAAGACAATAAAGAGAGCCTCAGTGTGCCTCAAGACACTGAGAGTCAAGGTGTCCAAGGTAACAAAGAGCAGCCCAGTATGGAACTGAAAGCTCTCCCTGCTCCAGAAATGAAGGTGTTGGTTCCAGAGGAACAGTCAAAAAGAGATGGGCCAGCCTTAGACACCAGTAAGCTTCCAGCTGTGGAGGAAAGTAAATTCCTGAAGACAATAAAGAGAGCCTCAGTGTGCCTCAAGACACTGAGAGTCAAGGTGTCCAAGGTAACAAAGAGCAGCCCAGTATGGAACTGAAAGCTCTCCCTGCTCCAGAAATGAAGGTGTTGGTTCCAGAGGAACAGTCAAAAAGAGATGGGCCAGCCTTAGACACCAGTAAGCTTCCAGCTGTGGAGGAAAGTAAAACCATGGTATCTCCAGCTATGAGGGAGGCACCAACTTCTTTAAGTCAACTTCTTGACAATTCTGGAGCTCCTAATGTAACCATTAAGCCCCCTGGGCTGACTGGGCTTGAAATGGCACCGATAGTCACCACTGGTGAGGAGCTAAAGAAGGTAGCTGTCATTCCTCCACTGCAGGATTCCTCCTCAAGCAAGGAGCCATCTAATGCACTTACCTTGCCTCAAAATAATGAGCCCTGCCCAAACCCTGGGCACCAGGAACTGGGAGAAGTCAACTCAAGCGTGGCACAGAGTGTTCCTCCGGTGATGCAGAGGCCAGTCAGCTCTTCTTCTATTTCAGGTCCTTTACCCCCCAACCAGATAACAGTTTTTGTGACATCCAACCCTATTACATCTGCTGCTAATACATCAGCTCCATTGCCATCTCACTTGCAGCCTGCATTAGTGTCCACTGTTGTCACCATGCCCAACGTGGGGAGCAAAGTGATGGTTTCGGAGGGGCAGTCAGGGGTTCAGTCCAACACCCGACCACAGTTCATCACACCTGTGTTCATAAACTCCTCCTCAATAATCCAGGTTATGAAGGGCTCTCAGTCCAGCACAATCCCAGCAGCCCCCATGACTTCTAACTCCAGCCTGATGCCTCAGTCGGTCGCAGTTGTTGGCCCTTTGCATATCCCACAGAATATCAAGTTCTCCTCTGCGCCCGCTCCTCCCAGCACATCATCCAGCAGTCCTGTGTCCAGCATTCCCACCAGCAGGTCACTGGTTCTGAATCCCTTGGCACCCCCTGTTCAGCTGCCTTCTCCTGCTACTACTTCTGCCAGTGTCCCTTCACACCTTCCTGCTCAGCAGGTCAAGGACTTCAGCCCAGAGGAGACATCCCAGGCTGGTGGGTCGGGCGAGCAGTGCTCGGTGATGGCCGCGCAGTCAGGCCCTGTCGTGTCCCCTCTGCTGACGAGCAGCCCAGGCTCTGGGAACAGACGCAGTCCTGTTTCCTCGAGCAAGGGCAAGGGCAAAGTAGACAAGATTGGCCAACTCTTGTTGACCAAAGCGTGCAAGAAAGTCACCGGCTCCCTGGAGAAAGGGGAAGAGCAGTATGCTCTGGATGGAGAGGCAGAAGCTCAGGGACTAGAAACGTCCGTCCCGAACACTTTGGGAACAGAGCAACCACCAGCAGAACTAGATAACAAAACTGTGACACCCCCAGCACCCAGTGTTACAAAACAGAGCACTTCTGGGCCCGGCAGCTCCAGCGTCAGCCCTGCGGCCGCCCCAGCCTG